ACCATTTACTCTGGCATAAAAGCAAATATAAAAGTTTGGTTTCTTAATCATTTTATTAATAATGAAAGGAACACTAAATTATCGAAACTCAACTGCAACTAGTTTGAAACTGACAAATGAGTACAGAAAAATGCCGCCGCCAAGATCGTTCAAATCTATCTCCGCTAATTCTTGGAACCAACATATTTTATCAACACAATTCGTCACACAGATTCTAAAATATCATTATTTCCTGTTGTTTTTATCATTTTTATTTAATAACTGCGCAACGTCAGAATTGAACGGCAAATTATTGACGACAAACTCTATGAATTTATGATAGAAACAACTTTATTTGTATGTAAGTTAAATCAAAGATCAAAATTTGTAGATAGTGTATTTAAAAAATACTTATTATTAGCATAGATTAAAACATATAAATAATACCTTTATGCTATTTAGTTGTATCTAAAATAAAATTATTTAAAATAATTAACTGTATATGTAAATAATTTTCAGAATACGAAAATAACTACAGTATCAGTGTACTCAAAATCAATTCAATTCCTGAGAAACAAGAAAGATTACATAGACGAACTTTCCTTTTAATTTCAATATCTAATCAAAACTAATCCAAACCTAACGGATTCCTAATGGATTTTATCTCCATTACAATATGAATCTTCAAAAGAATATTTACAAAAACCTAAATAAACAATATCTACTGAAGATACATACACTAAAAAAATTACCGTTATCAAGATGAGGACGTTGTGATAAGATCGAGTTGTTCGCAGACGAATTTTCTTTAGCAGTTGACAAATCAAACGTTCCATTCGATGTTTGGACATTATCGCTCTTCACCGTATCAGATTCTTGTATCGAGGTCGGATTTGTGTAAACAAACTGCTTTATTGTTACTGGACCCTTATAAAAGGTCTTGTTACCAAGATGCACGTTAGTTGAATTTTTTACGCGCACATCACCGAAATTCGAGACATCTGCATTTGGAAGCACCACATTGCCATCCGTGGTAATTACTTCTTGGTGTTGAAACACCGTTGGTACAGGTAAATCTGGTACCCAATCTCCTTCATCAATATCCGTTTCGTCATCTTCACTGTCATCTTCTATGTTACTGCACTGCGTAGAGGAACCGGCAAGGCTGCCATTTCTGACACCACTGACTGCAGTGCCAATGGAAGAATGCACTATCTCACCACGACAGTTGTTATCACGATTTTCAATAGAGGCGTTATTTATTTGATTCTGATTTTTTAGATATTGATTTTCATCTGATGTTTGTTCATGCTGCTGCACCAATGTCACCATACCCATGAACTGCAGAAAGAAAATGTCTGTTTAACACTCTTCTAAAATTTGTATGTATATTGACTGATGATAATTTACGTATGTAAATGAAACAATTTTTTTAATAACGAATCTTCAATAAGATAGTACCGTAAGATGAATGAAGAATGCCTAACTGATGAAGTTTATACAATTTGATTAATGACGAATTTAAATTGGGAAATGAAATAACAATTAAATGAAATAAAATTTAGTGATATTAAATAGAATATATTTAAAATAATATATTTTTGATAAATTTAAAAACATTGAAATATGATTTAATATATTTACATTGAAATATGATTTAATATTATAATGCATACAATTAAATATATATATATATTCTGATTACTAGATATATCATTTGATAAACATTACATGTTTTTTATAAATGATTGGACGTTATAAATATTTTTATAAATATTAATTCTTTTACAAAATCTTTTATAACACATTGTATAATATATAGTCTAGAAGAGTATTAAATTTTATTTTTATGAAATTTCAAAAAAATATTATCATTACTCACTCATAGAATATACACACATTATTTTCTTTATTTAACAAATTTAACAACCAAATGAACCAATTATATTATTATCCTAATTCTATTGCTCTAATTTGACTAGTTAAATGGCTTATCGTACATTGTATATGGAGTGGCGTTAATCGCACTAATAGGGCGAAGATCAATGTATACTATAAAATTTACGCAGTCTGAATACGACATATGAAAGAATTGGAAAATAATCGAAGAAAGAAAAATACATACAAAGAAATTATAACAAGAAAGGATACAAATTTGGAAATACAGATAGAAGATTTGAAGATACAGAAGATGATAAAAATGATTTCTAATGATATCCAATTTTAATTTCCAATATATATCAAATGAATCTCATAAAAGAATTACCTCGCACAAATCATCGTTTCTGTTGGCCGCAGTCACTTTGTCTGTGCTTCTGATTAACAATTACTAGCATACCATCCACTGCACCATATACACACGCGATACGTAAAATTTATAATCATGAAAACATTTGTAAAATAAATGCTAATTTCATAATTATTCTACCGTAGAGTCAGACCGGTAATGCCACGAGTTTCCAGAGAATCATAATTAGTATTGGAATTATAACACGGATAAATTCGTTCCTACGTGTTTCACGTTCCCCGTAAGAAGTATGCCACATAAAAGAAATACTAAATATGCCACGACGCATCACAGGAATTCGTAAACGATACGGGAAATATTAACATCATGTCGCTTCGTTTCACATCGTTTCACAACTCGCGTCACAGCTTTGTGACGTACAACGAGTTTCACGAAGGACGCGGCTGACACACACGATTAAAGAAGGAAATCTTCAATACGTCATAAATTAAAATGAAACTAAAGAAAGATTTAAAAAGATGCTTACACTTATTGTTAGTACGAATTAATCAGTACTTTTAGTGTACCACAACAACTCACTATATGAAGTCTCAATCAATGAAAACTAAAATGAATCGATGAAATGAGATCCAGCGTTATTATCTATCTGTGATTAATCGTCATGACGAATTGTCGAGAGTGTGTAAAACGAGGCACAAAATTGTCGGCAATCCCACTCTTCGTCTGTATTTCATCGTGTGCAACTAGAAATTCTAGTATGTACTACGTTCGAGTATATTGTCATCAAATTGTAAGTCATTATAATAGTAATTGCAGATGACAATTTTTCTTTATGGCAATTTTTTTTCTAATAGCAATCAATGAATCCAATTTTCTTATTTTATATTTTGTTTGCATAATAACGATACTTGAAATCGAAGTTTTATAGCAATTTTTTATTATTTTATAAATTAACTCGTGCGTTAATTCATAAAATAATTAATTTAAATTTTATGCTTCTTATTTTGAAATGATACTTAAATCTTGCTTGCTTCTTATTTGAAACTGATACTTAAATCTCGTCTTATTTATTTAATGCTAAAACTTTATTATTATTATTATTATTTACTTAAATTTTTCATGTTTTTGAAAATATTTGACTTCAAATAAATATAATTTTGCCATTACTTCATGATATTTAATAACGAAGAAAAGAATTTAAAATGCATAACGAGAATTAAATTCAGTTACACAACGTGATAAAATCTACTATCTGCTAAAGATATTTCTATTAGTTTTCAATTGTTGATTTTAAATTAAAAATTACAAATCTTAATTGATATTAGAACATTAATGTTAATAATAAAATATTATTAAAATTTTATTAAAATTATAAAGAACATTTATCATTAAAAAGATTTGATTATTTTATACTGGGTATTATTTTATATAAGTAGAATAATCATCATTGATTTTCCTTCATAAAAGGAAATTATTATTCCTGGAACATTGCGATAACCATATGTTATCATAAAAAAAAAAACAAAATTGTTTTTAAGCTGAGATAAACTATATTTCTAATAAAAGTTAATATTGAATAACGTTATTAATTTCTAAATAGATATGTGATTATAATTCGATATATTTTTTTATTCTCATATACAACACACATCACAAACGCATACTTCGTATAAAATTGTTTATATATTTTACTGCTTATATTAACGATATCGTGAAAGTTCCTTGATAGAAGTTAATAATTTTATCCTTCTTTTTTCTTTATAAATGTTATGAATCTAATATGTATAAACAACATTTAGAAAAAATGAATAAATTTCTGTTAAGTAATATATAATAGAAATTTTTTACGATTTATTTATATTGTACAGATAAATATTTATATTGTACAGATAAAAATATAAGTTCAACATAATATTTATGAAGATATCATAATAGATAATTCAGTCTATTTTTAATAAATTTATCGCACGTTATGATTGCATCATCTCGCGGTAACTTAGTTAACTACTTACAGATACCTTTAATTGATAATGTAGAAATTACAGATACCTTTAATTGATAATGTAGAAATTCTGCTATAATCCAACCACAGACGAAGTACATACATGATTAGAGATTGCTACAGACATTGTACACAATCATTGACTAAGAATAAGATAAACCTGACATTATATGGGGTTTCGTGTGTTAGAGTCTGAAAAAGCATTAGATGTCTAGTCTGTCAAAGTTAGTCAATGATTAAACTTAAATTTGTTTTTTCTCAATAAAGTTTCAAACTACATTGTGTGACTGTATTCAAAAGGAATTATATTTCTTCGCACATCAAATGCATGTCAATCGAACAAAACAAAAAAAACATTTTTGTGTTTGAGTAACATAATAAAGTAATTAAGTCAATTGAGTAAATATATTTGAATAATGCTGACTATACAATTTGGACAATGTGGAAATCAACTAGGGCACACATTATTCTCAGAAATATCATCTGATTTGGAATGTACAAATACGGGTGTATCGTATAACACTAATTATCAGTATTCAGAAGAGACATTCAATAAATGGTTTAGTGGTATTTCTAAAAATAATGAACGTTTAGCAAGAGCAGTTCTTGTAGATACAGAACAAAAAGTAATAAATAAAATTTATAATGACAAAAATACTTCATGGACATATTCAACAAAGAATGTAATTTGTCAAGCTGAAGGAGGTTGTGCAAATAATTGGGCATTTGGTTATTTGATAAAAGGATATCAATTAAGCGATGTGATATTAAATTGTATAAGACAAGAAATAGAAAAATTAGATTACTTCGATGGATTTCTCTTATTATTAAGTTCTGCAGGAGGAACAGGATCTGGCATTGGAAGTTATATTACAAAACTATTGCGTAAAGAATATGGTAAAAGATCTATAGTTAACACAACAATATTACCATTTTCATTTGGTGAAGTATGTACACAAAATTATAATACACTACTAACTTTAGCAAAACTTTACAATGAAAGTGATATTAATATTTTAATTGAAAATGAACAAATATATAATATATGTACCAATTCATTAAAGAAATCACTAATAAATTTACGAGATATGAATAAAGTTATTTCAGAAAAATTACTAGCTGTGTTCCAACCAGTAGATCATACAAACCATAACATAAATTCATTATTATCTCAGATAGCATGTCATCCTTCATATAAAATAGTAACAATTAAAAGTAGTCCACATATATCTGCAACATCTGCAAATTATGAGCCTATATGTAATTGGAATTCATATATACATCATTTAAAGCGAACACTTAGAATATCAAACTTAAATTTACAGTTGACTAATGTTGAACTAAAAGTGCCATCTAAGCCATTACGCAACACAGCACACTATACATATGCTTGTTCAGTATCAAATTTTTTAATAACACGTGGACTAATATCAGAGCAAGATCCTATAATGACAAATATATTTAGAGAAAAAGATTTATATGTAAACTGGAATATGACTGATTGGTTTACTCATTTACATCAAAACCGAAAATTTTTAAACCGTGATAAATTTCTTGCTTTAATAACGAATAATTCCCAAATTTCTTATTCTTTAGACATATTGTTAAATAAAGCTTGGAAGTCTTATGTTCATTCTGCATTTTTACATCTATACAAACAATTTGGCTTAGAAGAAGATGATTTTCTACAAGCATTTGCAATCCTTGAAAATATTGTGAAAAACTACAAAGAATTGGTTCCTCATGCAAAGCAATAATAGATTGTAATTAAATTGCGTAATTGAAATATAATAAATAAAAAGGTAATTGTAAGCTTTTTGAAACTCTTTATGTATATAAATATTTATTTATATCATAAAAACAAGCTAAGAATTCAAATATTGCATAAAGTTAAGAACACGTAAAGGGTAATTATGATGTCGCAAGAAAATCGACCAACTTACAATATTACGTACATATGTATGTCGTCGAAAGATACAAAGATAAGGAAGACAAAATAAAAAACAAACGAAGATAGAAAGAAATTTGACATAGAAAAGACAAATAGTAATAAACTAAAAATGGTTTTTATTTGAAGAGAATAGAATAAAATAAAAAATAATTATCTCTCTACTACATCCCTCTTATGATGTGAGTAATAGGAAGGTATATTCTACGCCTGTGCAAAGGGGCGCTCGAATCCATCGAACATAGTAACATAGAACGAAACCATTTCTGACCATTTCCAAGAAATAACGAAAATACTTCCAAGAAATGCGGTCATGTTTTTCCCCTCTTCTATTCATCCAAGAAAAATCGAAGTTGAAAACATTATCATACACCTCTGTTGTTACACATCTCTCTTGGAGTATAAAACTGTGTAATATAATTTTTAAAATGAAATTATAAATATTTAAATATATTAAACGAAAATTTATTAACTATTATATTAAATAATTTAATTCTTTCAGACTATTTTATACATGTAAATGTAATTATATGTTATAGGATGTAAACATATTTAAGTATTTTTTATGATTTTTATATCAATATATGTTTTGAAATTTTTAAATAAAATGCTCTGCTATTACTACCTAAGATATTTCAAAGTTTTAATTTTAAATGCGTTATAGAAAAAAAGGAAAGAACCTATAGTGTTAAGGAATACTGTATAAACAATGACAGATGCACTACTACATCGTTCTTTAGCATCGGTCAAGCGTTACAAGTACAACTACTAATTGTCGGAAATTTGTTTGCTGTCCCTTCCTGACTATTGAACACCTTCAAGATTAAATATTTTTCATTACTAATCTTCTAAATCAGACAAATAGTATACATTGCTGTGAAAAAGACAAAGTTTTTGGATCTGAATTAATTTCATACGTCTCAAGATCTATATAATCAACATAAAATTTATAAGATTTATTCTTCTTCTTTCATAAAATCAGGAAAATAGTATTCCAAAGCATTAAGTTGGCGATTTTTCACAGTGCGGGGTTGAAGGAAGCAGTATACAGAATGGTGGCGCCATCTAACATATGCAGGGACGCATCTTTTCTGTTATAAACACATTACTAGTTGTAAAGATATTTCTAATAAATAACATATTGATATCTACATTGTATCTTATTAAATCATATTTAACAATAAGATAATTGAAGTTATCAAAACAAACAAAGCATTAAAACATAGTAATTTAAATACACTCAATTAATAGAATTTTTGTTAAAAAGCATACATGCGTCTCTGTAACCTGCGCACATAGTAGTATTCGTGTATGCGACTCGAATACCAAGAGGCGTGGTTTGAATAGATGAACCTGTTCAGTACTTTGTCCCCTCTGCTAGATACAAAGAGCCGTCGTCCTTACACACTCACATAGAAAACAGGCGCACTCTGGTGTCGAAGCCATGGACGATGGTACGCGCCATTTTGTTTAGTATCCACTGGACGCGTCGTGCGTCTGGATGTTGTAGGGTTGTTTTCATGACCGTCAATGGAGAATAAATCCGCGGCTTTTTCAGCTTGCTGCAATTCCGAATGAATGTAATAGTGTAACTGTTTAAATAGTGAAGGCACATATATATATTTTTGCATGATTATTGTGACGTGCAACACGAGGATACGTTTTTCGAGAGAGTCGGGAACTCTCATGTCAGACTTAGCAGTTGCAAAGAATTTGCAAATGTATGGCGCCAGATACAATTATATGGATAGTTCGTAGGAGATTGCCACTATCGCCGTCATTTTGACGGTAGATACCATTTATACAGGTAAGAGAAAAGGGGTTGCCGGAGCTTAATCGATAAAGCTTCTCCATACTTTTTCTCTTTCTCTTTCTTAGTTTCCAAATACGCGTAACTTTTTCGTACTCTTATTAGTTGAATATTCGGCGCTTTATGCTTCGACGAGTTTTTCGTACCAAATGTCATACGCCCTGACCATGGTCGCTTGTGCAAGCCACTCGAGGAAAGTGAAAGCTCACCTTCCCGATCGTTCTGCATTGAGCACGAATCTCATTCTGTCCGTCGCAGTGGTGCA